ATCCAGACACGACGAGCGGGTTCCTCGACGTGCCCCTCACCCTGACAGAACCCAGACCCCTCGGGGCTGCTCTGTGGGCGCCGCCCCTATGCTCCCCGCTCACTGCCCACATGGGCAGGCGTCACCCAGATCAGGGCACATCCTGCTTACCACCTGGCCTAAGGGCCAGCGCCCTCCAGAACGACCCCGGCCCCCACAGCCCCCTGGGCAAGGGGAGCGGGCCTGTCACTGGCAGCAGTGCCAGCTCCACTCTTCTGGGCACAGTGAGGGCCAGAGCCCCTCCCCTGAGTGGAGGACCCGAGGGCACCAGGGCCAGGGGGCACAGGGAGTCCAGGCCAGCAGGTCAGTGTGGCAGTGACCCCCACCTTCAGGGGCCAGGATTTGCTGGGCACTTGCCCGCCCTGGGCCTTGTTCCCTCACAGACTAGCTCACACGTTGTCCCTCACTCGATCCCCAGCGACCTATGAGGGGGCCCTCTGTTCACCCCTCTGTAGCAGAGGACAAGGCTTGAGGGGAGGTGACGGGCCACTGACGAGGCAGCCCAGCAGCGGATCTCGGCCTGAGCCTTGCCACCCTGCCCCGCCGGCAGGCCCGCCCCGGCGGCTCCTGGCTGTACCCAGGGGCAAGGCCGGTGAGAGCTGGTGCCTCGACCTAGGGGTGCCCGAGACCTCATCTTCCCACCAGAGCTTCCGCTGCCGAAGGTCACAGAGCCAGTGAGGGCCAGGGCCGGTCCTTCCGGAACAGGAAGACTGCCACCCAGGCATGGGCCCTGCCCCCGGGGCCTTGGGTGGGGCCAGGCCCCGGGGCCGAACCGCTGACCACGGCTCAGCCGAGACCCTGCCCCGGGGCTCTCCTGTGTTCCTCCAGGGCAGCAGCCCGGGCAGGAGCAGGAAGGAGACCCGAGGAGCCAGGGCAGCCTGGCAGGCGGGGACACGGCCGAGAGCGCGTGCGCTTGGGGCTGAGGGCTGAATTCTAACACCAAGCAGCTCAGGGCGGGGCTGGACCCGCCACAGACACTGCGAGTCTCTTGGTCCGCGATGGGCCGGTGCGACGGTTGTGGCGTCAGGCCACGGCGGGCCGCGGGAAGAGGTCGTGGCAGCGGGGCCAGCTGCCGTGGGCGGCGGGGCGTCGCGCTCCTCCGGGGGTGCTGGTGTGTGACGGCGGGCCGGGCGGCCGGCTGCGCTATGTACAGTTCGCCGCAGGGCGGGCGGCGGGCGCCCCGGGGCCCGGCGGGCGGTCACATCCCTGAGAGCGCCTTACACGGGCCCCTTGAACTGGTTGCCCGACAGGTGCTGCCGGATGGAGGGCTTGGAGCCGGCGGCGTCCCCCAGCTTTCTCCACACCACCTGTGGGGGGACCAGCGGTGAGTGCAGGGCCCTCTGGCAGCCACGGCCAGGCAGACCTGGACACACAGACCGGTCCTTGCAGGTCCACCCCCTTCAGGCCCTAGGCGGGCAGAGCAGTGGGGTTCAGACTACCCCACCCTGGTGCAGCCCAGGTCAGCACCATCCTACGGCTCCCGTGAGGGGCAAAGACTCGACTCGCCAGGGGCTCTTCCTCTCAGACTGCACCTCCAGGGGCACCAGCCGCCGCCTGGGGCACCCGCTGGGCCCGGGGCACAGGGTGGGGCCAAGGACCCTGTTCTTGGGGAGAGGGGGAGGTGACCACGGGAGGGGCCCCGCCTCCAGCGCTCCCCCCAGCGCCCGGGTCACCCCAGCCTCAGCCCAGGCGCCCGAAGGGTCTCACGTTGCACATTTCCCGGACGATGGCCTTCTCCTTCTCACTCAGGTCCTCCTCGCAGCTGTCCTGGAGCTGCCGGTCCAGGTTCTCGTGCACCTCCAGCACCTGCCGGGGACAGGCATGGGTCAGGGCGGGGTCCGAGAGGGGCCTCGGGCGTCACCCCGAGCCCCGGAGGCCCGGCCAGGGGTCCAGGCTCTGGGCAGGGGGCGCCTAACGCTGGCGGCCTCTGTGTCCCTCCCCACCACACCCCCCAGCAATATTGGGGATGGCACTCGAGGGAAACGCACCCCCTGATCCTGAGGGGGTGGGGCCCCCTGGGGGCAGGACAGACAGGTGAGACCACTCCAGCCAGGGTCCCCAGCCTGAGCTTCAGAGGCGCCAAGGAGGCCGCAAAGCCCCTCTGGAGCCTGTGGGGTGTGCACATGATAGGGGGGCAAGGCACTGCGCCCCAGGGTGGTGTCCTGGCGCATGCGCAGGGAAGGGGCTGAGGGCCCCAGGGAAAAGAGCCACGGGGGCCCAGCCCAGCAGGAGGCCACTGCCCTTGGCAGAGACCTGGTCGTCCCGGCCCCTCCCGCTCCCGACTGCATAGCACCCCTAAACCCCTCTTCATGCGGTCACAGCCCCAGCCCCCAGCTGCTGCCCTGCGCCCCAGAGCGCAAACATGGGGTCCTGAGTCCCGCAGTAAGCCGGTTTGGGGGGCGGGGGCGCGCCTCACCTTCATGGCGTGCACGACGGCCTCGGGCTTCTGCCCCACGGAGCTGTAGCCGGCCGAGGGGGGCGAGGGCAGCTCGGGGGCCACACCAGCCGGACCCTGTGGGAGAACCCGCCGCTGAGTGCTGCCTGGTCCTAGGGGCAGCCCAGGTCGGCTCCCAGAGGGCGAGGCTCTGCCAGCCGGCCCCCGGCAGCGTGAGAGGGCCACGGCTCCCGGCCACAGGCCAGCGGCAGCTTCGCCACAGTCCACCCCGAGGCTCCAGACCCAGCTCCCTGCCAGAGGCCAGTGTCGGCCCAGCGCCCGCCCGGCGTCTCCCCCACAGGGTCTCTGGCCTGGGAGGTGGGAGGCAGGCCACGTGGGGGCCCCAATCAGAGCGAGGCTGGAAGGGCTCGGGACCTCCCAGAAGGGACTGAGGCCTCAAGGGAGGAGCCCCGCCCCCAACAGGAGCCTGGAACCGAGCGCTGCGTGGGCTGGCGTGGGGCGGGCGTGGGGCACCGAGCGTGGAGGCCCGCCAGAAACACTGGCACCACAGGACCCTGCGCTCGGGGCGGGGTGTGCAGGGGAAGAGTGGGAGCCGGGTTCTGGGCACCCTGTGGGGCCGGCTGGTGGGGTCCCTGCAGAGAGCAGCTGACCTGGCGGACCAAGGCACCCTCAGCCGGGGGTCCACTGACAAGGCGGTGGGTGCTGTGTGGACCCTCGGGGCCCAGATCCTTCCACTGTGGACAGCCACGCCCTCTGCCCCGGCCCCTCCTGCCCAGTCCAGGCCTGCTCCCATGCCTCCCCGGCTCCAGGCTCCTCCCCACGTTGGGCCCGCAACCCTGGGGCCGGGTTCTGCTGGCACGACCTGCCCTACTCTGTGCCTTCATCTCATTTGGTCAACAGAAAGGGATCCTGTGGCCCAGGCCAGTCTGCGAGGTGGGGGAACCAAACAGGCGTTCCGGGGTGCTGAGTGGAATCCACCACAGGAGGGGCCGGTGCACTCCCCCTGCCAGCCAGCAGGGGGCGACAGCCACACGAGCGTGGTGCTGGGAGGCACCTGCCCGCTCTGCGTGCCCCTTCAGAAGGGGCGTCGTCGGGAACCTGCTCCATAAGGGAGCCTGGGGCTGCTGGGGGGGGCTGCTGGGGGGGGCACGGGCGTGGCCACGAAGGCCTTGCAGTCCAGCACTTTCCCGCCAGCCAGTCTCTGGGGGCTGCCTGTGAGGTGTGCCCAGTGATGTCAGCACCGGCAGGTAACAGGACAAGGATTGTGTGCCCAGTCTGGGGTGCTCCCCAAAGGCCCCTCGGGCTCGGGGGGCACAGGCTGGACAGCCGGGCACCCCTCTGCTCCCTGAGTGCCCCCTTGGGCAGGTTGGCCGCTGTGTGGAGACGACCGTGCGGCAGACACCGTCTGCTCGGTAGCGTGGGGCGTCCACGGCCCGGCCAAGCCTGGCACCACCTCCAGGCGCCGCCCACACCCCCTCCCCTTCCGCCCAGGGCAGGTGGGCGCCGGCCGCTCTGGGATAAGCATGAGCAAGTCGAGCTCCCAGCCGCCAACCGAGCCTCAGCCTCCCTCAGCCGCTTCCCCCCCTCACCCCCACCCCCAAAAGCTGGGGAGAAGGACAGCCCCTCGCCACAAGCCCAGGGTGACCTGCCGCCCTGGCCACACCCGGGGGTGGCACTTCGGGGGGGCCTGCCCCCTGGCCACGGGCTGGCTTGTCCCCAGGCCGGTCCCAACCCCGCACCGTGGGCCTGCGGGGCGTATGCTCCGGGGACCCCAGAGGCACAGGGCACCCCGGAAGGGGCACTTACGTTCTGCAGGGAGTCCTGGCGGGAGGGTGGCAGGGTCGCCAGCTGGGACTCGGAGTGATACGGGGAGAAGCCTTTCCGCAGCGTCCGGTACTCGCCTGGGCCTGCCTGCTGATGCTGCAGGGCCGAGGGGCGGAGGTGAGGGGCCGAGGTGGAGGCCACCAGGACCTTGGGCCGCTCCCCCAGAAGGCCCAGACCGTCCCCAGCGAGGGCCCCTCCCTCGCCCGACTCCCACGGGGGCTGACCCGCTCACACCATCTGTGCTCACTGCCATCTCAGCCCGTGTCCCCACTCAGTCAGTGCCCAGAGGCGGGCTCGCACTCGCTCCTGTGACAGTGTGCGACAGCTGAACACAGGGGTGAGTGAGCACCTGCTGTCCCGCCCGAGCCCTCGTTCCTTGACCCCAGACCCACACCTGGGTCCCGCGCCACGCCAGGGAGAGGCCCGCTGCCTCCACCTGGTCCTGTTCTCCGGCCCCCACAGACCCCGGGTCTCCAGATGCCTGGACTCTGCGGCCTGGGCATGTCTGCAGGACTCGGAGCACAAGCTGAGTCAGGAAGATGCCCCCCTCGCCCCCCGAGGCTGTCGGCGGGTGAAAGCACAGGCCTGGGCCGCCCTGCCTGGGCCAGACCTCCGCCAGGCGCACTCCTTCTGGCCAGCGCCGAGACGTGTGTCTGAAGCTAGAGGACTGCCCCCGGGGCCCGGGGAGGGGCTGGCTGTGAGCAAACGTCACCCCAGCACCACCCAGGGGGCCCAGAAAGGGGGCAGCTCTCGCGGGAGGGGCTGGGCAACCAGGGCAGTGAGCTGTGGGGTCCAGTGAGGCCCCTGCCAAGCGCCAACAGGAGAAGCCACACTCACTCGTTCCCTCCGGGGTACCCCACCTCCCTGGTGGCCACCCCCGAGTATGGGGTCGGTCACCCCACAAAGGCAAAAAAACTCCCAAACAAATCACTGCCCTGGCCAGCCTCTGGCGGCAGGAGCCTGGGTTCCCGGAACGTCCGTGAGGGGCCGGACTGCCCTGTCCAGCACCACTCTGCGGGAACACCCTCCGCCCGTGAGCTGGGGTCCGGGCGTGAGCCTCACGCCCCCACTGCCCCGGGGGCCAGGAGATCTGGGGCTGCCCCTGTCACCGCGCGGCGTCCCCACTGTTTAGACACACTACACCCGGGGCTCGGCTCACTCTGCCCCGGCCGTGGGTGCAGAGCGGCCCGGTGTTACTACCCGAAACGTGGCCGCCGTCTCCCCCCACCACAGCGCCCCTTGGGAGGAGATGGGGGGTGGTTTAATTAGCGGCTGCGGCCCCCCAGGCCTCGGGTGGCTGCACACGCTCCCGGAGCTCCCGCTGTATTAGCAAGCCACAGAGCTGGCGGGGGGCACAGCTCTCGGGGGGCAGCATGACCAAGATGCGTCAGAAGGAGAGCCCTGGCGGCCCGGGGGTGTCCTGGAAGAATGCGGTTCTGAGGCTTTCATCCCCAAAGGGGAGGCACTGAACCGCCTCCAGGGGTGCTGGGCCTGCAGCCGGGACAAAGCCTGGGGGGGGGGGGCACAGTGCTCACCTGCGGCCCCCAACGGGCCTGGAGAGGTGCCCAACCCCTGCTCCGAGCGGCCGTGGGACTGCTGGGACCCAAGGCGAGGACATAAAAGGGGGCTGCAGGCTCAGCACACCCTTCCACCAGAGGGCCCCTCAGAGGGCCCCGCAGCGTGCTGCCTGGAGGCCGAGGTCCCGAGACCGGGGCACACCCCAGGCCTCCACCTGGGCCTCGCCACGCTGCCCAGCTCAGCCAGACCGGGCGGCAGTAAGAACAGGGCGCCCCACCCCACAGCCCGCCACCCACCTTCCCACGGGCTCCTGCTTAAGACGCTGGGGTCCCTTGGGTCACCCCAGGATTCCTGGGAGCATGGCTGCAGGCGTGCTGACGGAAAGGGGCAGCGCCACTGAGAGACAGGCCCTCCTTTGGGGGCGCGTGGGGCCCCTTCTGGGGTAATCCCAGGGGAGCCCTCACCCTCCCCCTGCCCCTCGAAGGGGACGGCCCGCCGCAGCCGTTGGCGCTCAGAAAGCGCCTACTGTGTGCCCTCTGGCGGGCGCAGCACCCGCTGGGAAGCAGGGCCTGGGGGTGGGGCCGAGAGGGACACTGCAGGGGCCGCCCAGACCCTAGAGCCAGGGTGGCCAGGCCCAGCCGCGCCGAGGGCTGAGGCCCGTGGGGGTGGGGCCGGCACGGGTGCCGTGGGGCTCCTTCTCCGGGCAGCCCCACATCGGACCCTGGGCCACTTTCCTCGGGACCCGCTTCAGCACACCCCTCTCTTAGGACGTGAGCGGGGCCCCCACAAAGTGAGGGTCACAGCCTGCCCCCCGGCCCACTACCTGGACAGCAAGAAGTGGGTGTGAGGCCCGGGCACACCCCCGGGGCCACCAGGCCAAGGGAAGGGGAGGGGGTGGGGTTCACCCTGCATCCAGCCGCTCACCCCTGCCCCCCATGAGTCCTGGTGGGGAGCCAGGGACTCTGGAACCCCAGACCCGACCCAACAGGACCCGCAGAGCACCTGCCACACGTGCACCCAAAGGCGCACCCCAAACACAGCTGCCCTTCTGGGGGCCGGCAGCCCTTCCAGACAGCCTGGAGCACGGTGCACGGGCCAGGAGACCCCGAGTTCACAGGTGCCAGGATGGGCCGGGGCCGGACACACCCCAGCTGGCCTCCGCTCCGTCCTCGGCGAAGGTGGCCGGCGAGGTCCCCACAAACGCATGCTGGCAGCTCGCCCAGTCCCTCGCTCGCCCTTTATTCCTTTGCCTTTATTTTCAGGAGAACCCCGGCAGGCCGTTAAGAAATGGGGGGCCGCCGCGTGGCTGGGCCCCGAGGGCCCTTCTAGGGAGCACTCGGGCTCCCACCGTCACTCCCGGGCCGGCGGCTCGCAGCTGCCCTGACGCTACTCAGGCTCGGCGCGTCCAGCCCAGCACGCGCAGCTGTGAAGGGAGCCGGGCCTCAGCCCCACACGGCGGCCCCGCGGGCCCCCTCTTCCAAGGTGAGCGAGCACCTCAGAGGGTCGTGGGGGCCCCTAGAGGGAAGCAGCCAGCCCAAAGGCCACCCTGGCCGGGCCTGCGCCCCTCACAGCCTCTGCACACTAACGGGCCAGGGAGGCCACCGCCCAGGTGGCCACAGGCGTGGTCCCGGTGGCTGCCCCTGCCCTGGCCTAGTGCCTTTGAACCCTGGCACAGGTCCGCAGTGCACAGATGGGAAACCGAGGCACAGAGAGGTTTAGCCTCTTGCCGAGGCCACCCAGCCGGCAAGCACCAGGCCCTCTGACCCGCGGGCGGGCCGGCCTCTGGCTACGCTGACCGCCTCGCGTGTGGCTAAGCCTCAGGCGGGCGGGCAGGCGCAGAGGGGCTTCCAGGCGCTGTTCCAGACCGCGTGGATCCCCACCTCTGAGGCCGCTTAACCAAGCAGGTAAGGCGCCCCTGTCCGTGACAGCAGGCTGGCACAAAAGGACGCAGCGCCAGCCGGACGCCAGTGGACGTCCCGGGGCAGCCGCCACGGGGGGCTGCACGAGCCTCAGCAGCACCTCGCGAGGGCCGGCTGGGGCCGCCGGCCAGAGGCTGCCGCCTTTGGGCGTGCCGGGAACGCGGCAGGCTGAGGTGGTGGGGTCCAGCCGGGGCGGAGAGGAGGGGCTCGGGCGGGCGGGCGGGCGGTCTCGGGCCCCGCTTCTGGGGACACGCCACCCCTCCCAGGCGCCAGGCCAAGGAGGTGCCAGCCCAGTGGGTGAGTGGGGTGACTTGAAGGGGCTCTGTTCCAGGGCCCAAACCCACTTCCCGACACCTCAGGGCCAGCTGCGTGGCCTCAGGCACCCCGCACCGGCCGCAGGGCTCGCCGGCCCAGTACCGGACCCGCCGAGACAGGTCTTAGAGACCTCACGCTGACCTGGGGCCACCAGCGTGGGCGTCCTGCAAAGGACAGCTGAGACTTAGGAGACAGGGGCAGCCCTGGCGGCCAGCGCCGAGGGAGGCCGGGCAGACGGAGCCCCTGCGGGCCTGGGCACGGCAATGGCCGCCAAGCCAGCAGTGTAGCTGCCCAGTCAGTCTGTGGGGCTTCACTGGTTCACGAGCCAGCATGTGCCCCGGCCAGGCGCCCCTCTCCCCCAGCCTGTGTCCCCTCTGGGCGTGGGGTCTCCCGCGGGTCCAGTATGGCAGGACGGGGGAGCGGGTGGGGGCGGGGGCTCAGGCCAGCCCACCGCTGACCCTCTGGGCGCGTGCTCTCCATAAAGCCGCTTCTGGCACCGAACGCAGCTTCACTGACCAGGCCAGTGGCGGAACCGGGCGGGGAGGTAGCGACAAGCCCAGCGGCAATTACCGCCGCCCCCGCGCGAGCCGGCGGCTCAGAACCGGCAGGAAAATGACCGTGTGCGTACGGGCTGGGGATGAATCACCCGAGGAAGCAGCTGTGTTGATGAAATTTTACAGCCGACACGAGAAAGAAAATACGAACTGCAATACAGTAATTTAGCCTGTGAACACTCTGGCACATTTTTAATTAAAGCTATTTTGGGGTTAAATGGAGGCCGCGGGGGTGGAGGCTGCCGGGGGGCACTGCCTCCCACCCACCCTGACCCGGGGCCACGTCCCCTTCAGACATTCCAAGACCCACGTGGCGCTCTCCTGCTTTTTGCCAACAGCCCCTGTTTTGCACAGGCTGGAGGCTTCTGGAGATTTCTGTGCCGGGATTTCACAAGACCTAAGGACCAGTCATAAAATCTCCCTGCCAGAGCCCACCAGGCGCAGGCCAGCGCGCTGCCCGGCGGCCATCTCTCCTCGATGCCCACACGCCACGGGCCAACGCCGGGCCGCCAGCACAGACCAGCTCGCTGCCGTGGGGCAGGTCTCCCTAGGCTAAGGCGAGAGCCAGCCTCCCCGACTACCCCGAGGACCCTGGGCGGGGGCGGCTGGGGCTCCCCAAGGCGCCCC